GATCCTATCACCCATGGATAAATGTCTATTTTTCCTGCAAGATAGTTTTTTTTCAAACCTCTCCACCAATGTAGACCAAGTGCTTTTCCTTCATATATGAGCTTTTGTTATAATTTATTTTAAGGCCTGAAATAAGTTCAAAGGTCCTTAAAATGCTTTTGACTGCTTTGATGTTCTGCTCATTTGCTTCTAACATAATTTTTAATATGCTATACTTCATTATGATAATATTCAAATAATAAATTTTTAATCTAAGATAATTTATACAAATGAAATTTTTAATCTAACAATTAATTTTAAAAAATATTAATTTAAAGATAAATTTTAAAAAAATATTCTTTAATTTTATTTTATTTTATTTTTTAAATGATGACTTATACTACACTGCGTTGTATATGTTATATATACTTTTTATTTGGAAGAAAAAATAGAGAAAAATGGTGATTTGGGCAATTGGGCTTTTTAGTCGTTACCTCTGTTAGTAGGGTCCATCTGGGGTGCAAATGACATTTCACCATCAGACATAAACTTCCAAAGCCTACGCTGTCGGCCATCGGCCCCTTTATATATTGGGAATGGATGACGAGTCACCCGTCCACGGCAAAACTTCTGTGAGGCAATAATGCAAACACGGGGCATGCAATTGCACAAATTCGAAGGTAAGGCTCTCGTAAGTACCCAGTTCTTGTTTCGTTTTCTAATTGATATCACACGTAATATTGGCACTATTGAGCCATGACTTTTTTTTTTTTTTAATAGTAAAAATTGGTTAGGAAAGTATTAACATATGTTTGTGCTGGGTGAGGATCGAACATTAAAAATAAGTGCAGTTCACCTATTGTTCAAAAACAGTGTAATCACCGTTGGATCACGTGGGATCTGTTCAGTGGTGGAGGGAGGGGATGCGAGAGGTGACACTTGCCCTTTTTGAAATTTAAAAATTTTTATAACTTATTATATAAAAAATTATTTTACCCTCTTAAAATTTAAAAATTTTATAAATTAATATATAAAAAATTACCTCATTCTTCTAAAAAAAAAAAAAATTATGGCTCCGCCCTGGGTCTGCCCATGACTTTGATTGAAAGTCGGTTTGTTTCTTTCGTCTTTGCTTATATCATGAAACGGTACTATACATACGTGACTTTTGTTTTTACCTTGCTTTTCCTTTTAGATTTTATCTTGCTTTTTGTGCCTGGACACAACTAGTGAGCCAATTAATATTCAGAGTCTATAGTCTATACATATTTTGTTGTCAATAAAGAGGTGGTTATTGGAAAAAATCGTGAAAGATGATCACTAATAATCAATGAATGTCACGCATGAACATTAAAAAAAAGGGACATAGGAATGTTTGTTTTAGTATTTTGTAAATAGTTATTAGTTATTAATTTTAATTAAATGAATTATATACGTTGAATTATTAATTATTAATTTAATTAATATTTTAAAAATAATATTTTATAATTTTTAATTCTACGGGACAGAGAAAAGACAAAACAAGCATGCATATAATTCAAGGTTGGAAGATGATGAAGCAGACGACGACCTGTTGACATGATTGATTTAAGCATCCCACGTTGAGGAGGACAGTGCGGACGGGATTTCGTGATGGAAAAGGGCTAGTTGGCCCCCTAAACTTTGGAAAAATATTAAATATGGTACATTAGTTTTTGTTTTCTACAAAATTTTATTTTTAAAAATTTAAAATATTGGGACAATTTCAAATATAAAGAAGGTATTTAGGAACCAAGTAAATGCATCGTGTCATTCTTTGTGACTAATTCTTAGGACATAACAATTTTATTAAACAAGAAAATATTAAAAAATAGTTAAAATCTAATTATATTGGTATAATGCATATAAATTTTTACATTAGTTATTTATAATTTTTTTGTACAATTTATATTATATATAAAACCAGCAGTTGAATTTATTTTATTTATGTAAATCATATGTTTCGAATTAAAAGTTGATTAGTTATATATAATTTTATAGCCATACAAAAAAAAAAGAAGCTAACTGTTTATACTATTTACTTAAGGACCCAGTTATCATAAAACAGTCTCCAATAATTTATTAGGTGGAGCATTAGGTTAAAAAGAGTCAATTTTAATTGTCAATTTTGATGGCTGTGTCTCCAATGCCAATCCTTTCCTTTGTATGTGCTGGCTTTAATTCCTTTCACCTTCCTATAAGCTAATTAAAATCCTAACTACTACATGAATCTAGTTATTGTTGAAAATATTCAAGGCCAGTGAACTAACTTTAGGAAAATAAACGAATCTGGCTGCTAATGAACTACTTATATAGTGAGTATTAAATCAAACTTGATGGTGTTTTAGTTTAATCCAATAGGGTCATGTGTAGTTGCCACAACCTTACATGATAATAATTATGATAACAATAGCTTCTTTGATGATAGAGTTGCTTCTACCTCCCCAACATCAATGTATATCTATATATGGTTAGTAACTATTGGCCACGGTTACGGCCACAAAAAGAAGTTTTAAGGCCACACAAAATTAATACATAAAAGAACAATTTAAGGCCATGGTTTTGGCCATATTTAATCAAATAAAGTGAAATTGTTATTAAAAACTTATTAAAGTAGATTAAATAAAAATAAAAATAAAAGATAATATATAAATGAATCTAAAATTATCTAAAAATAATAAATAACATAAAAAATTATTAAATTATTTATTAAATTAAACCCTCTAAAAATAATTAGCAGAGATTAGTGTAGTACAACTCAACTTCTCCTTTTTTATATGATATGCCTAAAATATTAATTTTTTAATTAATATTTTTAAAATTTAATTTTTAAATTAAAATATTTGTTTATGTTGGTCATATATGTTTTTGCTACTTCCAAAACTGAAACCTTTGCAATTGGAACGAGATAAGCACTGTACTTATATTTCCCACCACTAAGGCGATGGCAAACTTTGACACGCAACTCATATGGATTATTTTTTATATTAATTTAATATTTATAACATTTTAATTAGAAAAAAAAAAAAAAACTCAAGATTTGGCATCTTTGCTTGTTTTTTCAAGCACTAGATAGGACCGATCTATTTCTACTATTTGACAACTTTCTACGCTGAAATTCAACTCCATCGCCAACAATGGACATCACAACAATCAGGTTTTGTATGTACCAGGCTTTTACTCCTTGGTTGCAACTAGAGAGAAAAATAAAATGATTCATTTTTTGGTGTTTCTGAGAAATAAAAGGAGGAACAAAATTGAAATGATTGAATCGAATGGGATTGAACTTTGAAGAATGAATTGTTGATTTTTTTTTTCCCCCAAACTTAAACGACATACAGGGTTAAATTCATAAAGCTTGTGAAGTGGGGGAGACGAGGGTAAAATTGTATTTTAAGTATATTTCCTGGTGAAATTAAGAGGCATTAATTGTTTTTCTTAATCCTGCTGATGTTACCTAAAACGTCTAATATTTAGAAATAAAGAGAGTAATTTTGGTTTCAATTTAATTAATTAATTAATTAAAGTTATTTATGCATTAGTGATATTAAAATATATGTTAATTTTTATAATTTTATATGTAAATTAATTATATAAAATTTTTTTTTTACCTTATGCCTTAAGAGTACATAATTGGAGTGTAATAAAATTATCATTTTATAATTAATGTATACAAAAATTAACAAAAAATTAATTTGAATTTAATTAATTAATTAATTAAAATTATACCTTAACTTATACTCTTAAAATACAAATTAAACAAACTCATAAAAAAGTATACTTGTTATACCATTAATTTATATTTTTAAAACACATATTAAACAAACCGTTATTTGTTTCCCTTCCCATAATAATAAGTCAATCAAAATTCTAAATTATACTGCATTAATTTATGAGCAGCGCTAGGGGCACTCGCCTCTT